CACACACACACACACACACACACACACACACACACACACACACTAACACACACATACTGTGTAGCAACTTCATTGTTAGCATATACAAATGATAAAAGGAGTGCGTGCATGTAAATGACATTGAATAACATTCGAATACAGTTTGGGACCATGTTTGATTGAATGAAACTCATCCCTGAAGCATAGTTAAGACCAGGAAGGAACAAACCTTTTTGATTGAGGGTTAAATACAGAGAAATATAGTCACGGCCCAAACAATCGTACATCTGTAGTTTTCAAACAGTTTCAGAGCAAGAAAATCAACTAAACAAGAAAACCCCATGTGCCATAGGAAAATGTATAGTTCAATTATTAAAATGTACAACAATTACTACGCAGCACTTCAAAAGAGTTAAATGTTTAACATTACATGATGCAAAAAGTGTTTCTGTATCTGCAGCTCTTAAATAAATAAAATCTAATAAAATGCCTTAAAAATAAAATAACTTTGTAGTTGTTTATTCAGTTAATCCTTAATTTATGATTATAAAAACATGACGTCTCAATGCTGTTTAAACTTAATAATCAGTACATTAAGGACACGACTCAGTTGCGTAACACGTTGTATATAGATATGCAAACATGTGACATTTTCACACGAAATCAAACGCTGATAAGGCAAACATTTAATACTGAGAAATTCAGATGGAACGTCTTGAGTGAGTTGGATTCCTTATCAATTGACGAGGCACGCCTTCAGAGGGGCGGGTTTAAATATGGGGTGGAATGGCAAGGGGGCGGGGAGCTCTAACAATTACTACTATACTCTTTCTGCCTCCGCATCTTCTTAGTTTCCACAGACTGTAGAACCACTGCGAACGTGTTTCCGTGAACCCACCTGTTTGATATTTCTACATTTCGTTTTCCTGTGAAGAGAACCAGCTGCTCTGCTATGGCTAAAGGAGAGGGAGGAGAACAATACTCCAACCCCAGTTTATTGAATAAACCAGTCAGCTCGGATGGAATCACGCTCGCCAGGAAGGTACGTTTCATTCATTCATTTATTTAAAAAAAAATGACGCTTTCTTATTTAACACACTAGACAGCACAACACCACGCAGTAAACGAAGAAGACGCTGATTTTTTTTTTTTTAATGAATGCAGCACACCGGGTTAAGCGACGTCGCGAGGGACTGAATCACTTCACGTTACTTGTTCCTAGGCGCGCCCCCCGCCGGTTGAGATATTTCTACACAACAGTTGGACTTAATATCATCTCATATGTGACTCGTCGAGTTATTGAGTGAATTAAATGATTGATAGCGATTAAAAATGTGAAAGAATATGATTCATTTTCAGTGAATTAATCAGTAATTTATTACTTTTAGCTTTCAACCGTGAGCGAACCATCC